GCTCTGGAGATAATTGGGAAGTAATTCAATTATCTCCCAGAGCAGAGGCAAATCGCCATTTTAACTCAAAGTTACAAAACACATTAAAATATAGAACTTTATAACTGCAGAACATATTGCATTCGTGTAACACATCCCCAGATAGCCTGGATCTGAGTGCATATTATTGGCGAATAGCGCTCAGATTCCATACGCATAGTTCAATCGCCATGGAGTCAAAGTCTATTACAGTTCTTCGGTATGCGATTGACTCCATGGGAAGGCTATCTGGGTTAAGTCCATTCGTATTATTAAATCTCCCGAACGGCCGGTATTCGTATGCTCTTGTCGATTGAGAAGGGGAGGTCGACGGCTTCAGCGGTGTTCGTGTGAAAAAGTGTCCGTTTTTAGTTCCATGAAATAATCATCGAACACCGTTGGGCTTTCGCATAGTCAAAATGGCCGCCGCCTCGTGGTCGACATATGAACGGCGACCACCCGGTATTCGGTTTTAATTGAGAAGTATCTGTGGTTAACCGCAACGTTCTAATTGGGATCAATAGGTTAACCAGCAGCACACTTCTCTTCTGGGTGGCCGTCCGTTCGGTAGTTCCGTTCGTTCGACAAAAAAAAGACATTCCCTTAAACAAAGCATACGAATGGGGAAATTCATACAAACGGCAAAACAGACGAACACAGCAATTCTAGTCCATACAGATGGGTCTGTCACACACGGCTTTTATGCACAGAATCTCTAATACAAAAACACAGGGGTTTCAATCCCAAGATCCTCTGTGCCTGGAAGATAATCCACCTGTTTGGTTGTTCATATCTCCCGAACAACATTCGCATAGTTGGTCGGGAAGTAGAACGGGTAGCAATCTAATCTTTACTGGGGTTAGTGGGAGTGCCTAGCTGAAAAGAGTTCCAGGCACTCAACGACCAAGTGCTGCTGCCCACGTTCGGGAGATAAGATGGCCACCATTCATTTGTCGACCACGTGCATTCGGTTATACGAAATGGCAACCTCGGGGAAGCATTAATTACTTCCTTTGTGGTTTCGCACATAAGTTGCTGGTGTGAACGTTCTAATGAGGTACAGGGGTGTTCCTCGTTTGGGAGACGAATGGAGGATGTTCGTATATAACAACTACCAAACGGAAAAGGGAAAAAACACACGAAAGGGGGCAAAGCATACGAAATTGGCGTTAGGTTCCGCCACACATTCTGTCAGCGAACAGAGCTCCATTCTGTCATCGAACAGAGCTCCATTCTGTCAGTGAACAGAGCTCCATTCTGTCAGCGAACAGAGCTCCATTCTGTCAGTGAACAGAGCTCCATTCTGTCAGCGAACAGAGCTCCATTCTGTCAGCGAACAGAGCTCCATTCTGTCAGCGAACAGAGCTCCATTCTGTCAGCGAACAGAGCTGACAGGTAAAGTTAAGTTGCATTGTGTTTATTGTTTTTCTGTGTGATGTTCTGCATATAAAGTATTATTAAACTGTACAATTTGTGTTAAAATGCTGTTATTTTGGGGATCTGGAAAGGATAATTCTAATTCATATTAATACAACAGCCTTCTGGAACGGATTAAGTTTGAGTTCCGAGGTTCCACCGTATTATATCAATATATATTATGTACACAATACCGCGTTTATATAGATTGATTTTACACCGGGTAGAAATGTGACTCTTTCATTTACTTTTGCCCCAGAATGTGTTTTACTTCATGTGAAACTTATTGAAGGATTTACTCAGAATGTTTCAATTAAGTCTTTAGTTTTATTAATTTTCTTTATCTGAGAACATGTGATAGCAGTGATTACAGAATGTGGTGAGAGACACACAGAGATATCAAGTAAAACACAATGAAAGAGACAACCAGGACAAGGACATCGGAGACACAGAGGGAGAGAGAGAGAGAGAGGCAGCCAGGGCAAGGACATCAGAGAGAGAGAGAGAGAGAGAGAGGCAGCCAGGGCAAGGACATCAGAGAGAGAGAGAGAGAGGCAGCCAGGGCAAGGACATCAGAGAGAGAGAGAGGCAGCCAGGGAAAGGACATCAGAGACACAGAGGGAGAGAGAGAGAGGCAGCCAGGGCAAGGACATCAGAGAGAGAGAGAGAGAGAGAGAGAGAGAGGCAGCCAGGGCAAGGGCATCACAGAGGGAGAGAGAGAGGCAGCCAGGGCAAGGACATCAGAGACACAGAGGGAGAGAGAGAGAGGCAGCCAGGGCAAGGACTTCAGAGAGAGAGAGAGAGAGAGAGAGGCAGCCAGGGCAAGGACATCACAGAGGGAGAGAGAGAGGCAGCCAGGGCAAGGACATCAGAGACACAGAGAGAGAGAGAGAGAAAGGCAGCCAGGGCAAGGACTTCAGAGAGAGAGAGGCAGCCAGGGCAAGGCCATCAGAGAGAGAGAGAGAGATAATAACCAGGGCAAGGACATCAGAGACACATAGAGAGACACCGAGACAGTGGCAACTATGGCAGGGACATCAGAGAGAGAGAGACACAACCAGGTCAAGCACATTAGAGAGAGAGAGAGAGACAGAGAAAACCAGGGCAAGGACATCAGAGACACAGAGGGAGAGAGACAAAGATGGAAAGGGTATCGGCGACATAGAGAGAGACAACCAGGGCAAGGACATCATAGAGACAGAGAGAGACAACCAGTGTGAGGACATCAGAGACATGGAGAGAAAACCAGGGCAAGGACATCAGAGAGACAACAAGGGCAAGGACATCAGAGAGACAGAGAGAGACAACCACTGCAAGAACATCAGTGACACAGAGAGAGACAACCAGGGCAAGGACATCAGAGAGAGACAAACAGGGCAAGGAGATCAGAGGCACAGAATGTAGCAGAATGGCCCTTTTCCCTTCCCTTTGTTCGGCTGTTGTACCCCTCTTTTGTTTACCGAACTCCCATCTGTGTGATCCCTGAGTTCAGTTATTTTAACAACCGACCACCCTTGGCTCTTAACCTCAAATTGCTCATTATAAAAGGGTTCCCCCTGTGTGTCCGCTGTTTGCATTACCGAATGCACGTGTGCAAAGAAACGGCAGCCATCTTGTCTCTCGCACGTGGGCAGCGGTATATGGTCGTTGATGGCCTGGGACTAATTTCGGCTACTGGACTCCGCGAACACCCAGTAAACTATTACAGCTGTCCATTCAACTTTCCGAACTAGTAGGAGAACGGTGTCCGGGAGACCTAAACTACCGAACAAGGGGGCTAGCAGCCAGGGGGAGCCTTCGTCGGCATTTGTGGGAGAACTCCCAAAAGAAGACCAGTCAAAGCCTAAAATCCTCTGGAACTATTTTGGGGCTTCACCTCGTGGTCGACTGGTCTAAACTTCACTCAAATGGCGTTCCTAATCTACCGAATAGATCTTTCGTGGAGTTCTGAGATAATAAAATATGTTTTATGTGGTTTTACAATATTGTATATTTTTGTTGTACTTGGGAGATAATGTAATTAAAGAGTTGTTCTTACTAAATTATCTCCCAGGCACAGAGGAGGAGTCTGTGAAGTGTTGATTTGTCCCTTGTCTCCAACAAAGTCCACCAGGGGAAAACCCCTGGAATGTAATTTAAGAAGCCCCTTGCATGGGGAGTTGCATAAAAGCCAGCTGTGGCTGAATAAAAATCAGTTGACTTCCAGAACTGTGTGTCGTCCAGTTACTGGGGGGATTGTGCCTTTGATATTGTATTGCTTCCTCAGCTACAATGAGTCTACAGCGGAGATATTGATGCTGAAATTTGGAGCTTCGCTACACAGAGAGCAAAAGAAAGTGAAAGAAACAGACATAGAGAGAAAGAAAGAGACAGAGAAACACACAGGGAGAGAGAGAGAGAGAGAGAGACAGACAGAGACAGGGGGAGACAGAGATAGAGGGGGCCCAGAGAGATACAGAGAGAGACACTTAGATACACAGAGAGATGGAGAAAGATCAGAGAGAGGCATACAGGGTGCAGTAAGGTTACAGAAAGAGAGATACATGGACCATAAGACATAGAATGAGAGCTGAGAGGAAGACAAGAAAGAGACAGAGAGTAAAGATACAGAAACAGCACACGAGAAAGAAAAGCAGAATAATAAGGGCATGTATGTACGTAGCGGGGAATTACAATGCCACATAAACATAAATAACCCCAATCAACCCCCCCAATAACGACAGACAACTTAGTATGCGCTATCTCCCCAGGGCCTGACATAAAGGTTGACAAGACTCTCCCTGGTAGCCATGCCTAGGCAAGTCTTCATTGCTGGTAACCATCACTAACCATGTCCTCCTTCCTGGTAGCTGCATCTACACTGGGGATTGCTATACGCTGTATACTCCCCTGCCTATAATCACTAAACTCTTTTAAGAGCTTGTTCCTGCTTTGCTCTCTGAAGGAAGAGAGGTTCACCCACTGGAGCCTGGACCCTTGTCTTAGGTCCAGGGTGGCTAGGAGATGGCGAACCCCCAACCAAGCTGCGGCGGTTCGTGGGGTCTGCAGTGCTATGGTGTCAAGTGTAGTTCTTGGCGCCCTCTGGAAGCACTAGGAGCATACATCAACGGAGGTACCCAGTCGGGGTGCCAGGTGATCCATTACACTTGCCATGTCTTCCTCACTGGTAGTCATTACTAGCCATGTCAACCTCCCAGATACCCATCACTAGCCATGTCCTACTCACTGGCAGCCATCACTAGCCATGTCCTCCTCCCTAGTAGCCATCACTAGCCATGTCCCCTCCCTGGTAGCAATTACTAGCCTCGTCCCCTATTTTGCAGCCATCACTAGCCATGCCTCCTCTCTGGTAGCCATCACTAGCCATGTCCCCTCTCTGCTAGCCATCACTAGCCATGTCCCCTCTCTGGTAGCCATCACTAGCCATGTCCTCTTTCCTGGCATCCATCACTAGCCTTGTCCCCTCCTTTGTAGCCATGTCTATATCCCCTCCCTGGTAGCCATCTCTAGCGATGTCCCTTCCCTTGTAGCCTTCACTAGCCATGTCTCCTCCCTGGTAGCCATTACTAGCCATGTCCTCCTTCCTGGCAGCCATCACTAGCCATGTCATCTCCCTGGAAGCCATCACTAGCCATGTCATCTCCCTGGAAGCCATCACTGGCCATGTCCCCTCCCTTGTAGCCATCACTAGCCATGTCTCCTCCATTGTAGCCATCACTAGCCATGTCTCCTACCTGGTAGCCATCACTAGCCATGTCATCTCCCTGGAAGCCATCACTAGCCATGCCATCTCCTTGGAAGCCATCACTGGCCATGTCTGTTCCCTTGTAGCCATCACTAGCCATGTCCCCTCCATTGTAGCCATCACTAGCCATGTCTCCTACCTGGTAGCCATCACTAGCCATGTCATCTCTCAGGAAGCCATCACTAGCCATGTCCCCTCCCTTGTAGCCATCACTAGCCATGTCCCCTCCCTGGAAGACATCACTGGCCATGTCCCCTCCCTTGTATTCTTCACTAGCCATGTCCCCTCCCTGGTAGCCATCACTAGCTATGTCCCCTCCCTTGTAGCCATGTCCCCCTCCTTTTAGCTATCACTAGTCATGTCCCCTCCCTGGTAGCCATTACTAGCCATGTCCCCCTCTCTTGTGTCTATCACTAGCCAAGTAGCCGTGTCCCCTCCCTGGAATTCATCACTAGCCATTCCACTACTCTGCTAGCCATCACTAGCCATGTCCCTACTCTGGCAGTTCTCACTAGCCATGTCCCTACTTTCTAGCCATATCCCTATGCTGGCAGCCATTACTAGCCATGTCCTCTTTCCTGGCAGCTATCACTAGCCATATCCCTACACTGGCATTTATTCTCGCCAGTTTCCATTTGTGGGTCCAGCAGTTCATGAACTATTCGGAGTGAGCACAGGGTTGCTCAGTACCTCCAGTCTGTTTGTACATAGATTTGTTTATCTCTCTGGGACAAGGCTCACATGTGGTTTGTATGTAAATAGTTTGGCGCGTGTTGCAGCCACATGAGCCTCCGGTTGGAATTACAGAAAGCCATGGAACATCCTTCAATAATGGATGAGGTGCTCGGGGTGCTGGTTAACCCCAACACTGCCAAGTGTCTCCCAGTGACCCTTCCACGATAGGATAGAAATCAGGGAAAAGGTTCAGCGCTGATAAGAAACAGGGAGTATAATAACAAGGCAGCACACCTTAAAAGGGGAATCCCCTCTGAACCCCTTAAAGTACAATAGAAAAGAGAGAAAAGAATAAGGGTGCGCCTAAAACAAGTAAAAATAGTAAAATGAGAATAGCAGCAATAACAAAAAATTCGGAAAAATGTCCAAATAATATAAAAATGGGATAACCACGGTACCTAATAGTCCAAATATAAAATGTCCAAATGCGCAAATGGTGGTCCTAATAGTCCATCAGAAGGGTATGTAGCGTCCCGGATAAGTATAAATATGCGGGGAGAACAGAAGAGAGAGAAAAACTCCAATGGTGTAGTATAAAAACAGAATATGAATATATAGTAAATATTTGTGGAACTACTCACAATCTTCAGAGCTTAAATCCAGCTCTGGTATGGATAGCGTGAAGTGGAATAATCCCCACTCAAGGATATGTGGTGCTCCTCTTTGGTCCTTTGGTGGAAGGATGGAGTTCAACTCGGGATAAAAATAATAAAAAAAATATATAGTGCTCACTGTGTGGTCGGTGGAACAATAAAAATGAAATAAAATATACTCACAGGTATATAGAGCAGACGTACTGCTCGGTGAATGGCGTATGGGTGGTATAATCCCCACCTTAAGGATTCTTTGGTAGTCCAATATGGTCTAAATCGATGGTAGTTAGGTCTGGATAAGATGAACTTACATAGAATAAAGTAATAATAAATAATATGATATAAAAGTGAAAAAGGAATGTGGCACACCAGTGTATAATAGCCAGATATTCCTTTAATGACACTTTGATTTTAAAAAAGAAAGTTTCTATACGCGTTTCGCCACAAAGGCTTCATCAAGTAGAAACAGTATAAAAAAGAAAGCCACGATAGCCTACAGGCTGCAAGCCGCTCCCTCACCATCACTATTTATTGTGAGATAGAGCGCAGACATCGAACGCTCCTCCTCAGCGCTGGGTACAATTCTGGGGAAAAATTAAAAAAGGGTGCAAAAAGCCCATTAGGGCGCAATCCAGTGTTATCTTTGGCGGCAAATTTCAATTTAGTTTTAGTCGGATTTTAGTCATCCGAATTGTTTACGTCTTGGTCGACAAAATGAACAGTGCGCACTGTCGGCAATGCTGTCTAGAAATCGTCTGAGACGGATTAAGACCCCCAAAGGCCAAGGCAGGCTTCACATAGAGATGGGCAATGAGGCCAAAGAAGTTAATAGTTTCAGTGCCACGGTGTGTCTCCTGGGCCATGGGCGTGATGGGAGTTAGAGGCTGTCCATCAAAATAAAGCCAATCAGTACTAGGGATGGAAACGTCAGGGAATTGGGGTGAGAGTAGTAAATGCATGAAACAGACTTTCAGCAGAGGAGTTAACATATAAACCCCCATTACTTCATATAATATATATTAATATGATATATAACAATAATATATTAACTGATATAGAAGATTAATTTATTAATATAGTATCATGCAATATATATTAAGATCTCTCTCCGAGAAATGTTAAAGGGTTATTATTTCTGTGTTTGGCAGTTATACCTGTGTCTGGCAGTTTCAGGGTTACTATGTCTGTACTATGTCTGTGCCTGGCAGTTAAAGGGTTACTTTTTGCATGCCTGGCAGTTAAAGGGTTACTATTTCTGTGTTTGGCAGTTCTACCTGTGTCTGACAGTTAAAGGGTTACTATTTCCATGCCTGGCAGTTAAAGGGTTACTTTTTATGTGTCTGACAGTTAAAGGGTTACTATTTCCATGCCTGGCAGTTAAAGGGTTACTTTTTATGTGCCTGGCAGTTAAAGGGTTACTATTTCCATGCCTGGCAGTTAAAGGGTTACTTTTTGCATGCCTGGCAGTTAAAGGGTTACTATTTCTGTGTTTGGCAGTTATACCTGTGTCTGGCAGTTTCAGGGTTACTATGTCTGTGCCTGGCAGTTAAAGGGTTACTTTTTGCATGCCTGGCAGTTAAAGGGTTACTATTTCTGTGTTTGGCAGTTATACCCGTGTCTGACAGTTAAAGGGTTACTATTTCCATGCCTGGCAGTTAAAGGGTTACTATTTCTGTGCCTGGCAGTTAAAGGGTTACTATTTCCATGCCTGGCAGTTAAAGGGTGGATAACACCCAGTAGCAGTGAATGTCTCTGAATGGATCCCTAATAAAAGTCCCAGCACAGGTAACAGCTGAGCACCAGGTGATACCGGATAGAACAGGTGTGTGGGGGGGGGAGGGGGGAGAAAGTAACAAAGGTTGTAAAGCAGAGCAGGGGGAGGATTAAAGGGAAAGAACTAGAGACTGAGACATGTAAAGAGAATGTGAAATAATTATCCAGATTAAAGGAAATAACAAGAGATGTGAGCTATTAGACTAGATGGGCCGAATGGTTCTCATCCATCGTCACATTCTATAGAACTATCGAGACCTGTGACGAAGAGAGGAACAGGGGAAAGTGACATGGGACAACTCTCAGTGGCAACTTACAGCAAATAACTTATCTCCCTATAATACTTACAGAACGGTAGGTCGGTATTAGGGATAATTACAAAATAATAGGTCGATATTAGGGATAATTACAAAATAATAGGTCGATATTAGGGATACTTACAGAATGGTAAGTCAGTATTAGGGATACTTACAGAATGGTAGGTCGGTATTAGGGATACTTACAGAATGGTAGGTCGGTATTAGGGATACTTACAGAACGGTAGGTCGATATTAGGGGTACTTACAGAATGGTAGGTCGGTATTAGGGATACTTACAGAATGGTAGGTCGGTATTAGGGATACTTACAGAATGGTAGGTCGGTATTAGGGATACTTACAGAATAATAGGTCGATATTAGGGATACAGAATGGTAGGTCTGTATTAGGGGTACTTACAGAATGTTAAGTCGGTATTAGAGATACTTACAGAATGGTAGGTTGGTATTAGGGATACTTACAGAATGTTAAGTCGGTATTAGAGATACTTACAGAATGGTAGGTCGGTATTAGGGATACTTACAGAATGGTAGGTCGGTATTAGGGATACTTACAGAATAATAGGTCGATATTAGGGATACAGAATGGTAGGTCTGTATTAGGGGTACTTACAGAATGTTAAGTCGGTATTAGAGATACTTACAGAATGGTAGGTTGGTATTAGGGATACTTACAGAATGTTAAGTCGGTATTAGAGATACTTACAGAATGGTAGGTCGGTATTAGGGATACTTACAGAATGGTAGGTCGGTATTAGGGATACTTACAGAATAATAGGTCGATATTAGGGATACAGAATGGTAGGTCTGTATTAGGGGTACTTACAGAATGGTAGGTCGGTATTAGGGATACTTACAGAATGGTAGGTCGATATTAGGGATACAGAATGGTAGGTCTGTATTAGGGGTAATTACAGAATGGTAAGTCGGTATTAGAGATACTTACAGAATGGTAGGTTGGTATTAGGGATACTTACAGAATGTTAGGTAAATAATAGGGTACTTGCAGAACGGTAGGTCGATATTAGGGGTACTTACAGAATGGTTGCTTGATATTAGTGGAAGTTTTGGAATGGCATGCTGATTTTTGGGGTATTAACTTATTCCGTTTTTTTCGTGGTTAGGACATTACTGACAACCACTGGCTTTGAGAGAGAAGTGAGATCCGTGGGACTTGTCCTCTTCCAGTAACTCAATGGTCACCAATCAATGAAATATCTGTTACTTATGGTAAACTCAAACTCTTTGTGTCCACAACATGATATTTCTGGAAAGAAACTGGCCATGTCCCTGAGCTCAGGCTCCTGTCTCGTTATCTCTGTTTTGTTTCTTGGCATGTCACATTTGGGGCCACCGAGGAAATGTACCCAATCAGCAGAGGTCAGCTACATCATTACACCTGCTTGTACTAGGAAAATGCTGTCAATGAATTATACTCATTCTTCTTCAAAGATGCTCTACACATGTACTGCCAATAGCACAAGTTGATCTGCCCCACTAGGACACTGCCAATAGCACAAGTTAGGTCTGCCCCACTAGTGCACTGTCAATAGCACAAGTTAAGTCTGCCCCACTAGGGTATTGCCAATAGCACAAGGCAGGTCTGCCCCACAAGTGTACTGCCAATAGCACAAGTTAGGTTTGTCCCACTAGGGCACTGCCAATAGCACAAGGCAGGTCTGCCCCACAAGTGTACTGCCAATAGCACAAGTTAGGTTTGTCCCACTAGGGCACTGCCAATAGCACAAGGCAGGTCTGCCCCACAAGTGTACTGCCAATAGCACAAGTTAGGTTTGTCCCACTAGGGCACTGCCAATAGCACAAGGCAGGTCTGCCCCACAAGTGTACTGCCAATAGCACAAG